TGCTGCGTTCTTTTCCCTACAATATTCAACTATACGATAGACTGTATAATGGACATAGCTTATTGTGCATCGCAAGAGATATACAAATCAGTGCAGAGTACATTATCGTAGAGGTGAACACGCTGATGCTGTAGTCGTTGTGATTATGATGAAATACAAATAATATTAAATAATGTGTCGACAATTGTACGATCCATGTAACGAAAGTCTTATATAGCAAAACTTGATAAGATATTTGTCTTATCAATTTTTACCAATTCATCGCCGAATGAGGGTGTGCAAATTTTTTAATATATTTCACTAACGGATCCACACTAGCGGTTAAATTATAGCCCGCATAGCTGAAAATTCTTCTCGTTGGCGAAAACTTCATGAAGCTACCGAGAATTCACTATTAAAGCAACTTCACGCATATATACATAGATATATATATATAAGAATCAACACTGGTGATATAGCATTATTAAGCGATATTAAATATTAAGAGTTAGGAAAAACATAAAATGCTAGAGAAGTTCCAAGACCTGAAAGAGGAGTTGAAAAAGATGGCGAATAAAGGCTAATATAATTGTATCAATAATTGAATCACTTGCAGCTATGATCTCTAAACCAGAGATATGGCTTCAAAGGCAATGTTCCAAGAGTAATTTCAGAATCTCTATTTGAAGAAAAAGGTTTGTTTCATGCATATGTATAAACGTATAAACGTTGCATTTTACAGGCTTATTTGACTGAAAATAAATTTCTTAAATCTCCAACTTAAATTTTTTAAAATCTTTCTAACTATTAATTCACAATTCGAATTCACAATTCACAATATGTATGAGCAGAAAAAATAACATTCATTTCATAAAAAGAAATCAGTGCTTTCTTAAATTGTAATTGTTAGCATCACTATTATTGCCTTATTTTTCATTTTCATTGTCGCTCTTTGGTTTCATTCTTTTTTTTCGAATAACCATTTCTTTTTTTTTTTTCAAACCAGTATATGGCGATTTTGCTTACCTTATGTGCCAAATAAATTAAATTAAATCGCATTGCTATAAATCATGTTTCGTATGAAGCTGGGTTAAACCGCCAATGGATGGCGCCAAAAACGAAATGGGCCATTCAAAATCTGGGCTGATACGGTCAGGAAAGAATTTCAACGTATAGGAGGACCAGCAATATATGGACTTAGACGATGGAAAAAGGAATGGCTTCAGTTACTATCGATGATGGCATCAGACCGCGCTGCTTGGAAACAATGGCTTCAGTTACTATCGACGATGGTATCAGACCGCGCTGCTTGGAAACATCTTACCCTTGTAGCCGCTGGAGCCAGCCTAACCAATAATAGCAAGAGCTGTTAGAAGAAGAAGAAGTATGAAGCTGGGTTCCTATGCGATTGGTAACATTTCCTGGGAAGATCATTGAATATGCGTTTAACTAACATTCATCCGTGTTTGATTCTAATTTTAACTTATATATATATATATAAATTACAAATAAAATAATATATAAAAATATACGCAATAAATTCAAACAAAAAGGAAAAGGGAAAGCGGGAAGAAAAATTTCACCTATTTCGAACACTTTTAAAAATTGGAAAATTTTGAAAAATGAATAAATTGGCAAATTTAAATTTTTCAACATGGAAAAATCATAGTTTATGGATATTACATTACATAATTCCTGAATTGCAACAAAATAATTTCATGAGCAAAAAAATTTGCATGAAAATTTTTAATGGTAATCATTTTAATATTCATGTGGTATTATATTTAAATTCAGCTTTAATTATTAGAATCGTTTAAAACTCCAAACATCTCTCAACAAATGAATTCTTTAAAAAATTCTAAAAATCATTTAAAAAATGTTGAGATAATACTACAAGAAACGACTAGCATTAGCAATTACCGCATTCGCCGACTAATTATAATTAAAAATATTTATTAATATAATAAAATTAGTGCAATGAAATAATTAATCAATCGAAAATGAAATTACCTTCATAAATGGCCGTTTACAGCTAAATACTTCAATTTTCAATTTTCGTCGACAATATGAACTTTAGCTATATTTGTAATAATACAAGTAGAATTAAATGGTATTTTCTTCTAAACTTACCTTCTGGGGGGTCAAATGATGTACTATTTGCTTAAAGTAAATGAGATATTTCTATTTTAAGTAGAGATTAATCTCGCTAATTTAATTTTTAAATAAGGCTTGCAAATGGAAAGGAATCTCTCGTCTATATCTTCGTAGAATATTAGGCTTAATCTATAATAATGTAATATACTGTATTTTTTTAAGAACCTTAGAAATAAGAAAATGCCGAGAATGAAAAATTGAGAAAATAAGTGAAAATGCACGTGAAATATCAAATAAATTTGCCTAATAAATTCCACGCAAAATCTTTAAATAGCTCGTAAATTTTATTAAAAATAGCCCCGTTTCGTTCCATCTCACTAGATGGCTACGAGACATGGTCAATGAAGGTGAAGGATATTAAGAAACCCATTTCTGTCTAATATACATTTTGCGCGTTTTCGGAGTGGATAAAATTATATATGATCGCATCTATCTGCAATTTCAACCACTTCCATTATCAATACCATCACAGAGGGCCTTTTTTGCTGCATAGGGTATGTTCTTTGTCGCCCACGCACGAGAGTTGAATATTTCGTTACTTGTAAACCATGTATGGTGTGAGCAAGGTGGACCAATCAAGATCTGGATGGATATAGTCAGGAAAAATTTCGAATATATAAGAGAACCAGCGATATATGGATTTAGAGATGGAAAAAGGAATGGTTGCTTCTGATTGCTGACGAATGTGCAACTTGAAAAATTTTTATTCTTGTAGTCAGTGGAACCAGCCTAACTAGTAATGTGAGAGCTGTTTGAAGAAGGAGAAGGAATTAGTCGAAAAAATTTTCGAGGGAAATTTCATTGTCGTAGTCTCATTACGTTATTCGCAGGATGGGAATGGATAATTATTTATATTTTAGAGTGCTCATGCTAGAGTTCTATTCCTATCAAAAGTAAACTGATCTCTTAAAACTCAGGTAATAGTTCTGTTCAATGCCTACAAAATAGCTCTCTGCAAAATTATTTATTTCCATAAGTCAGCGAAATATGCAAGAGAAAAGAAAAAATTGCGTGCGCTTATGAAAAAACAAATATGCTATAGTATTTTTTCAGAAAAGAGAAAGTGGTTAAAATCATCGAAAAACTTTCTCGGAAAAGAATATTCTCTGAGACCTTCTATCGTGAAAAGGGAAAGGCTCAATTAAGACGATAGGGCAGTTTTCATCAGTTCATCAGTTCAAAATGATCGAAATTTAGGGGCAAACCATGTAGGGAATCAAAAAAAAAGGAATTTAAATATTTCAATATGATACTATCAGTGTAAACACAATGAAAAATGTCCAAATCAAGGAAACTATCGACTACAATGCGAATCGAAACATATCGTTCAAGCACTTCATAGAGGTAAATAGTAAGAAATCTTCCTCATAAATATCATTTATTTATCATTCTTATCTTATTTTGCCAATCATGTTAAGCATGCCGCGCAATGATAAAATCAAACTGAATCGACGATAACTTCGGTAATAACTGTAATAAATTAAAAAATTTTTCAACAAAATTTGATTAAACATAAAAATACATATATATTAACGATGGCGATTGTTGCTAATGATGGAGATAAATATTCGAAAAGTTGACAATTTCGTAATGCCCATATTGGATCGAAAATAGCGCTGTTAGGAACTCCATCGCTCTACGCGATTTAAAATCTATTAAATTTCCGCAAAAAGTTTCCCTCAGGCCATTTCTTATTTAAGAGGAAACGTTCATGTGAATTCCTAATAAGAATTTTTTTGTCTCTTTTTTTTGGAGCTGTTTGATTAAATCTGCGATTTGAATTTATTTAATTGCGTAGTTTATGAGATTACCGACTTATTACAACAATTATTGAGCCCGATTATTAGTCGTAAGTAAATTAATTATAGGTAAATATGTAAAATATAATTTGCGAATTTTTCATTGCTGACATTCTTTTTTAATTCTAAAGTGCAATTTATGAAATATTTCCAAATCGACCGCTATGAAAATCTTAAATTTGCCTTAAATTGGTTCAGGCTGAACTGCAAGAGTTCAGTTTCAGTTTCTGTACCTGATTTATATCACTGAAAAAGTGACGGAAATTTGCAGTTCAAAAACTGGTTTCACTTCATTGATCATATTATCATTATCATCCGCATTCCACTTTATCATGGAAATATCATAATGACAATATTATTTATACTATAACAGTAATATCAACATAATTATTAATAATTTCATCAATAATTGTAATATTTATTATAGTTGGCCGATTAATATAGTCCTTAATTTAAATAGAATACAAAGGCATCAAAAAAGGCAAACTTTCTATCACCTTTCAATAAAAATAAAAAATAATGCACGTTAGTTCAAGAAAAATCCAATACCATACGATAGAAAAATTTTTTTAACTCGAGCAATATTTTAGACTTATTTTTATTTATGACAACCACGTTTTGCGTTCATTTTCATAGTAAGATTTTTTGAAATAGCTCATCAAAAAAAGTGTGCAAATTATAGATTTGAATGCGCCAAAGATTTAGTCTTTTTTGCTGATAGTTATGATAAAATGAAAATAACCCTAAACAATGGGCCGACAACTGCAGCATGATAAAAAATTCGGATAACAATAGCTAGAAAGATTTTCGCTGCTGACAAAACTGGAGCCATTATGGGATCATCGCGATGTCACCATAAGAACAAATGTCTGAGTATACATAGCTGCAATTGCTCGATCATACTATATCAGTCAAAAACACGACCAGTGACAGTGGAGAATATTAAAAAATCCTATGTTTTTGACCATTCAGATATACGGAACGGATAAACTTCTGACTTATTTACATCCAACTTCTTCTTCTCCTTCTAAAAGTTCTCACCATTACTGGTTAGGCTGACTGCAACGGCTACAAGGGTAAGAAACTTCCAAAGGCGCCGTCTGATGTTAACTTTTTCCATCGTCTAAGTCCATACATTGCAGGTCCGCCTATATGTTCAAGATCTTTCCTGACAGTATCACTCCAGTCCTTAATTGGCCCAATTCGCTTTTGAAGTCATCCATCACACGGTTTAGCAAGTAAAGAAATATGCGACAATTCTTGTAGTGCCCTAGCTATCAAAGGCGACGCTCTATGATAACATTATTAATGCAGGCGGTGTTTGAATGAAGGTGGATGCGATCATGTGATATTTTGTCCACTCGATGAACCCGTAAAATATACCTTAGACAAAAGTGGCCAAAGGTAGATAGCTTCTTAATATCCTCCAATCTCCTTGGCCACGTCTCAGAACCATATAGCAAGATCGAACCAATTACGGCTATATAGATACTGACTTTTGTGTTAATGGTAATTTCACGATGCCTACACAAAGGTTTCGTCAACCGGAAAAACGCATTTTTAGCTGCCGTAATCCGGGCTATAATATCATCTTTTGCCTGGTCATTTGGTACTAGAGTTGACCCAAGGTATTTAAAATCGGGTATTTCCTCGACCTGCAATTTACAAAAAGAGGCATTTTACCAGCTTCCTATGCATAAGACGAAAAGACTTTTGTTTTGCATACATTTGTTGACTCTGAGCCTATTTTTGCTGCAGTTTCTGACACATTATTTAGCATTACCTGCATTTCGTCATAATTGTTAGCAAACAGGACTACATCATCAGCGTATTCAAGATCTGTCATACAATGCTCTAGACTGATTTGAACATCCCTTGAGTGCCGACAAGCGGTGTCCATTAGCCAGTCTATCGCATATTGTAGAGGACGGAACCAGTTTTTGTTTCGAAGGATTCAAACTGAAACACTATCGCATTCCATCACTCTCCTAAGCCTTTCTATCAACTATGAATCAAATGCAGCCGCAAAGTCGATGAAACACGTGACAGTGGATTGCAAATATCTGAAGCGATGTACCAAGACCCTTCTTAACATGAATATCTGGTCAGCATTACCGCGCTCCGGTGTGAATCCAGTTTAAATAGGGCGCATCCTGTTGTCTCGTATTTCCATAAGTCTGTTGAATAAAAGAGAAGCAAAAATTTTCGTTGGACGTCTAGTAATTCCTCGATAATTCCTAATTCCTCGATAATTGTCGCAGTATGTCCTATCACCGTTTTTGAAAATTGGGAGCAGAATTGCTTTGCTCCAATCATCTGGTAATATTTCTTTTTTCAATACTAGAGAGTACATTTGATGAAGGTGCATTATAGAGGACGAAGGACAATATTTGAAAAGCTCAGCCCGAAGACCATTTTCTCCTGCAGTTTTGTTGGCCTTAAGCTTATGGATAAATGAAATTATTTCTTCTTCTGTTGGAGGCTCGCAATTGCAAGCGTATGCTTCGGCAAACGTATCATCTATATCAGGGACAACAGATGGCGCTTCATGGTTAATTTGGTCTCAAAGAATTGTTTCCATCTTATGAGGCGATCCTTAATACTTTTGATTAGTACGCCATTGCTGTCTCTTACCATTTCACTGATCGTTCCCCGAGTCATGGTTGCTTTATGAAGAAGGCAGAAGATAGTTATTATCGCCTAATCGAGCCGCCGCCTTCATTTTCAAAGCCATGTGACTCCATTAGTGATTTCTGTCCCGTCTTGCTGCTTTCGTTGCAAATCTTCGAAGTATCCGGTAGTCAGTCAGTACCTGACATTCGTGCTTTGGCAGCTTTTTCAGACAATTGGACAGTTGCTTCCGATAATCCCAACTAGCCCACTTCCTACTAGTATGCTGTAGCATGGAAGTGGCTGATTTTCAGAGACATTCCTTCAGTTTGGACCAGTATTCATTTGCCGTTCCAGAAAAATCATTGATATTTGTTTCATTGAGATGCTTCAATAATTCGATTTGAAATGCGCTCACAGTCCCTGAATTTTTTAGCTTGAGACAGTTGGAAGATCTTGCGGGATGTTGTTTTCTGCGAATTGTCAATTTTATGCGGATCTTGGCTCGAACCATAACATGGTCAGATCCATGAAGATTGCCCGTTTCAGCTGCGCGATAGGAACGACTATCTAATACGGAACTTTTCCAACGGCGACTGACTAAGATATAATCAATTTGGTTGAAATGTTGGTTATCCGAGGAGTTCCACTTATCTAGATATTTTCTATGATGCCGGAAGCAAGTATCAGGAACAAAAAATTCATGCTCCTCAGCATAACGAAGAAGACGTTCTCCATTGGCACACAGGTCTCCGATACCATATTTGCCAATTGTTGAGGTTATCGCAGCTGCATTATGACCTACGTTAGCATACCAGTCTCCCCTGATTATGATCATGACATATTTCGGTAGAGATATTCGGTAGAGCAGTTGAAGTTCCGCATAGAACTTATCTTTATCTCGGTCATCTGCCGATAGGGTTGGAACATAGACAGTGATGACCGAGCTATTGCAGAAATTACCCTTAAAACAGGCATAGGCCATACGGTCATTTACCAGTTTCCACTCAATCAAAGCGGAATGGGCCTTGTCAGACATGGCAATCGCTACACCATTTCGTCCCGAGTTATTCAAAGCGTCACAGTGATATAGCCAGTATTATCTCTGCTCTGAACCAAGATGATAATTAAGAATTGCTCGAGACCCAAAATGAGGAAGATTGACCTCCGACAAGCAAGCGTTATCCACACGATATTTAGACAGGGTGTGGACACTGATTATTTGGCTTGCAACGTCCATAAGCGTTTTGACATTCCACACTGATACAGTTAATACCTCGTCGCGCGTACAGAGGCTGTTCTCCTTAATAGCCTTCGAGCGATTGCTCTTAAGAGCGCACTTTATTTACCTTGGGATCGCTATAAGCTCGCTGTAAAGATTGTATACTTATCGCATTTACCACCGGGCTCGGAGTATCATGCGCGACGGGAAACGCGAACACCGTATCAAGTATATCTGAGCCTTTCACCATAGAGTATTACAGGTGGGTTCCCACCAGCCACCAGGATTTTTGACGCAATAGCAGGTTTACTCCTACCAAAGATTAAAAAAAAATTTAAATTTGAAGAAAATGATAAAATAGACAATAAAACTTTAAGAAAAAATAAAAATAAAAGGGCAATTAAAAGTACAAAAAAATACATATATATATATAATTTATAAAATTCAATTGATTTGATTTATAATTTATTTAATTTTATTGATTTAATTTATTTTTATTTTAATCGTTGTTTGATGAAAAAAAAAAAAAAAATTAAAAGAAGACTTAGCTGAATTGTAATCAGAACTGAAAAATAAATTCACAGAAATAAGTCGAGAATATTTTTCGAAACGACTGTTCAACAAAAAAAAATTTTTCTCGAAGGTTCACTTTCATGAAATGCCTAACTCACATTAGCTCTCTCTTTACAAATAACTTCAAAGAAATGACGTCAAATTTTAATTTAGCATCACTCATAGCCGCATTTAACCAGGTTTTTTATTAGGATTTCCAGTTTATAAAGTATAAAGGTCGGGCAATTTATAACTCTTCTATATGATATTCCAAAATTCCTTGTAGATTCTTTAATAATATCTTAAACCAGTTGCTTATCACATGATATGCTTTCTTCATCGAGTGACATTTGTCACCTCAATACAATACACGGTCTTTCATCTTTATTAAGAAATTTATCAATCGCTATTTCGGTCAGCGTTCTCAGAACATTCATTGCATTTTTCGACTATTTTCTTGAAATCCTTCATTTCAGATTAACATTCTTCATTTACTTTTCTCAGATGGTCAGTAGATAAATAATTATTACTGTTTTCATTTTTCATAAAAGAGAACTCTAATCTTTTTTTCCTTAATAATCTTAGCATAAACATCACCACAGTTTTCAGCTTTAAGCTGAGCTTTAACTCAGCTATGCTTTTTTCAGAAAACATTCGAAGCTATCTGTCTAATGCGATTTCACGTGAAGTTCATTCGGTTCCAATTTTTTTTTACAAGTGGACAATTATCTTTCTTTTAGTTATAAAATTTTGTTCGTGAATTTTGATTAACTAAAAAACCGACATTATAAGGAATTGTCAAAAAAAAAGACAAAATAATTTGGGGTTCGTTTAGATTTATATGGACCTTCTCGTGTTTGCTGATCTCAGGAACAGCATGTTAATCCAATCAGGTCTTTTTTTTTCAAATTCTTTTTTTTGGGTCTTCATTTCGCTCTTATTTTTTTAGTGGTCTCAAGATAGAAAATTTTGAATCTACTGATTAAAATGGCATATCACATTTTTTGGCTATCATAAATTAGCAACTAAAAATGCCTAATGTTACAATATACTTTATATTATTGCATGCTCGTGAATTTTTTGTATTTGCGTTGGCTGAAGTTTTGCCGCAGCTACTTTCTTTGCGCGTAACAATATCTTCCACTGCGACATTCCGATTACCATTCTGAAAAAAAAATTTGAATTTAATGATTAAAAATTTAAATTTAAAGTTACTCTTAATCCTTACAGTAATTCTGTGCGATAGCGAGGATTTATTCATATTTCTATCTCAACTTGGCTATTTAGAGAAATATTATTTCGCTGATATACAATGGGGTCAGTTAAACACTCGGGGTTACTCGAAATGATGGAGAGTTAAAACCGATTAGTCAAAATAAATGCCATATTAAAAGTGTATAGAATGAATTATTTAGAAGAAAAATAATTGGCCCATTCAACGAATGTAAATGTGCTCAGTTCTCTGAAATATGCAGAAAATAAGCAAATAACATTCAACTTCAACCATAAATTGTACATTTTTCGTAAAATTTGAAACAAAATTTACCCATTAATTGAGTGAGTTAGCATCCACATTATTTTAAATATAGCGAATGCGATCCATTTGCTTTTATAGGTTGATTGGAACTGTTTGCTTTTAAAAACTGCTTGGATGGCATAATAAATTGCGAAAGAAGCGATATGAACAAAAGAGCTAACGCATATCTGAAATCGTTTAAATAATTTAAAATATTTTATTGTATCACTGATAATTTAAATCAGAAGCAGTAAAAATGGAAAAAAGCAAATAACATTCAACGATGATTTTTTCGTTATTAGAAAATTCTTCATTTTTTCGTTTGTAAAATTTTTTTTTGTTCTCACTTGAAAGAAGAAAATTATATCCGATCGTAACACGTTGAGACGCCTTGATCGCTTGTTTCTCTAAAAAAAAAAAGGTCGACAAATTTTCAAAATTTTCAAATTTTAAAAAAAAATTCTATTTTAGGAGAAAATCTTGAAAACTTTTGCCAGCCAATGAAGAGGCAGCGCAATAGTTTTAAAAGTGATGTGCAATTTAAATTTTTAAAAAACCTTTTTTCTTTGAAGGAGTAAATAAAACACAATAATATCGACGAAAGCAATAGCGATAAAAATGGACAGTTGAAAATTGAAATGAATTATAGGATAAATTTTCCTGCATTCCTTATTGCTAAGCCACGAATACACTGATTTGTTATAAATATATATGCATAACATATCTAAAAATTTTGGAATATTAATTTTAACATGATTGCATTATATGCATTTCAAACCGAATTATTGAAATATCTCAGTGAAATGAATGTCAATGACACCTCGGAAATGGCGGATAAATAATGGTGCAAGGGCATATTAGTAGAAGGTGTGTTAGTTGGATATCTACTACTGTCCAATTGTCTGAAAAAGCTACCAAAGCACGAATGTCAGGTGATCCTGATTACCAGATGCTTCGAAGATTTGCAACGAAAGCAACATGGCGCGACAGAAATCGCTAT